TATTTAGTAGCAAGGAAATTTCACAAATGCACTTCCTCTACAGGTGGCATCCTATCACGGTACCACACGAGCTCCTGAGAGTGACCCATTCTTTCGCAAATGTTTGTAGAAGCAGTCTGCATGCGTAGGTGCTTGATTTTATACACCTGTGGCCATAGAAATGATTGGAACACCTGAACTCAGTGATTTGGAGGGGTGTCCCAAAACTTTTGGCAATATAGTCTACATGGGGAAATCAGGCAGTTTCTTCCACTGGAAGGGGGGGGTGTTTTGGTGGATTCCCGGTTGCGGGGCAGAATACGATGGTTCAGATTAGTGCCATGACGGGGCAGGGAAAGGGTCCCGTGTGCATTTTCGCCTCCGCTTTAATTTCCCATTTGATTTGGCTGCGGCACAAGGAAACAATCCCCACAGGTTAATGAGCATCGTCTTACGGTTTAGAGATTCCGCCTGTGTGACTGTGTCAGGTCGTTAACGCTGTCTCGATGCGGTGTAGTTAATTAACATGGCGGGGCTGTTTATACATCCTGCACCCCCATCCTCACGGTCTTGCATTAATCAGTCGTTCTGGGCATGATTCTTTCCCCCCAAGTGTCGCAGGAATTCTGCACGAAGCATCTTGCTTTCCTGGCATAAGTGTGGGCCGTGAAAGTACCATGTGGCCAGGGAATGAACTTCTGTGGCCGACTGTGTGAGATTAAGATCCGTAATCTTTAAAAAATGAGCATGCTGCTCATAGTTGGCTGAATAAGCTGACTGATGCTTATACAATGAAACTACTCTTTGTTTTTTCGGTTTAGATATTTCATTGCAGTCTTTTTCCGCTACCTTCCAACTGTGAGCAAAATTTTACGTGTGTTTTTTTCTTTTTTCGTAATGGCGGAGATTTTCAGACTCTAAGTGCAGAATCATATGTTCAATATACACTCACCTAAAGGATTATTAGGAACACCTGTTCAATATCTCATTAATGCAATTATCTAATCAACCAATCACATGGCAGTTGCTTCAATGCATTTAGGGGTGTGGTCCTGGTCAAGACAATCTCCTGAACTCCAAACTGAATGTCAGAATGGGAAAGAAAGGTGATTTAAGCAATTTTGAGCGTGGCATGGTTGTTGGTGCCAGACGGGCCGGTCTGAGTATTTCACAATCTGCTCAGTTACTGGGATTTTCACGCACAACCATTTCTAGGGTTTACAAAGAATGGTGTGCAAAGGGAAAAACATCCAGTATGCGCAGTCCTGTGGGCGAAAATGCCTTGTTGATGCTAGAGGTCAGAGGAGAATGGGCCGACTGATTCAAGCTGATAGAAGAGCAACTTTGACTGAAATAACCACTCGTTACAACCAAGGTATGCAGCAAAGCATTTGTGAAGCCACAACACGCACAACCTTGAGGCGGATGGGCTACAACAGCAGAAGACCCCACCGGGTACCACTCATCTCCACTACAAATAGGAAAAAGAGGCTACAATTTGCACGAGCTCACCAAAATTGGACAGTTGAAGACTGGAAAAATGTTGCCTGGTCTGATGAGTCTCGATTTCTGTTGAGACATTCAAATGGTAGAGTCAGAATTTGGCGTAAACAGAATGAGAACATGGATCCATCATGCCTTGTTACCACTGTGCAGGCTGGTGGTGGTGTAATGGTGTGGGGGATGTTTTCTTGGCACACTTTAGGCCCCTTAGTGCCAATTGGGCATCGTTTAAATGCCACGGCCTACCTGAGCATTGTTTCTGACTATGTCCATCCCTTTATGACCACCATGTACCCATCCTCTGATGGCTACTTCCAGCAGGATAATGCACCATGTCACAAAGCTCGAATCATTTCAAATTGGTTTCTTGAACATGACAATGAGTTCACTGTACTAAAATGCCCCCCACAGTCACCAGATCTCAACCCAATAGAGCATCTTTGGGATGTGGTGGAACGGGAGCTTCGTGCCCTGGATGTGCATCCCACAAATCTCCATCAACTGCAAGATGCTATCCTATCAATATGGGCCAACATTTCTAAAGAATGCTTTCAGCACCTTGTTGAATCAATGCCATGTAGAATTAAGGCAGTTCTGAAGGCGAAAGGGGGTCAAACACCGTATTAGTATGGTGTTCCTAATAATCCTTTAGGTGAGTGTATATATAAATCACCGCAAGTGGCAGCAATTTATAGACCGTAACTCAAATACCTAATAGCAAATTTAATTTGACCGTAGTTAAAAAGCAAAGTGTTGGTACATGGAGGCTATGTTTTTTTTTTTTTTTTTTTTTTAATCTCTCGTCTGCATATTCAGTTTATATCGGAAATGTGACATTTTATAGGAAGTTTTTATGTAGTGGGAATGCTGAAGTCAGGTTTTTCAAGTAACAAGAATGGTGCATAATCTAATGTAGCACAACAAGAACAATGTAATGTCTCATAGTAACACTTCAGGAAATGTATGAGGGGCGCAGTTGGTGATTGCTAGAGTAGAGTTACTACCACAAAAAATCCTCCTTTTTCCATTGTCCTGCCCACGTCAGTTTTTAACACACCAAACACACAAATACACAAAAAATCAGGTGTAAGTTATTCCTGTGTTTACATCCCAGATCACTCCTCTGGTCTTGCTGGCGATTCATTGGTTGTTGCCCGGTCACAAGGCCTTCGTCCTCATGACACGCCCCCCCCCCCCCCCTCGGCTGGACAGAGACTGAGGCATGCACGTCTACATCCAAGGAGGGGAGGGAATCCACCCTTAACATTTGTTGTGGCATTTGAGTGGCAGATTTAATAACTAATGAGTTTTGATGTGTAGCCTAACCTCTTAGACACGGTATCTCTCTCAGCGTACAAGGCTCCGCCCCCCACCCCCCACCCCCCGGTTTTACACAGTCAGTGTTTTACTTCTCTGTCAGCAACAGGTTACTCCAAGTAACATCTTTAGTGAAAATGTTGATAGATACAAACGGCCCAGAAGGAGCTGGTGGAGTGGGGGGTGCCCCTCGTGCCCCCCACCCTCGACTAGCCAAACTGCATGGCTCTGCTAGAGAATCCCGCGTGTGGAATAGGGGCTTGGCGAACCGTGTTTCATTGAAACCTCAGTCTGCCGCTTCCCTGCCCCGCAGCCAGTCCTGAACACCAGGTTGTGTTTCGGCTGTTTCCATCCATCCCCCAGCCACTGCTCTGTATCGGTTGGTCTTAGACTGGAAAGTGTGTTGCCTGCGATTGTCTCCCTGTTTTTGAGGGACATGGAAGTTCTCTCCCAGTCTATATAAACTTTCCCTTTAAGATGTAGTGCATACAAATGCACATACTGTGTGATCTTAAAAAAGACAACAAAAAGCATCCCGGTGCTTTTATACGGACAGGGAACTGCAGTATCCAAGTTGTCCATAGGTGCGTGTGTGCGTGCGTGTGTGTGTGTGTGTGTGTGTGTGCGCGTGCGTGTGTGTGTGTGTGTGTGTGTGTGTGTATGTGCGCCTCCGTGTGTGTGTGTGTGTGTGTGTGCGCCCCCAGGGCCTCGTCACCTTCCCGCTCGGAGCTGTCACAGATGGCTCCTCGCTCTCCTGGACGCACGGCATGCTGTTCAGGGTCAGCGTGAGGTTGGCTTCTTGCCCCCAGGATGCCCTTCTGCTCGCCATCAGCTGCTCCCTGCCCCCCTCCCTCCCCAAAAAAATCATAAATGTCTCCAAATGCCTCCTTTTCTCCCCCCTCCAGACTCCAGCTCTCATTTCCTCTGGTCGCTTTGCCTTGTTCACTGACAGTACCACCCCTCCATTCGTGACTCGAACCCTGCACCCCCCCAGACCCTGTGATTATCTCCCAGCCCCTTTTCCGCTCTGTTCTCTGACTCTGTGTGTGTGGGTGCGTGCATGCTCATTCGTGCGCGTGTGTGTGTGTCTGTGTGTCGCGCACGCCAGGCTTCTGAGGTTCCCTGGAGGTAGCGGTAATGGTGTGCTGTTAATCGTCTCTGTCTGGGGGCCCGTCAGGAGGGTGGCCAGCGCTCGTTAACGGGGTTACGTGTCGTTAAGGGGAGCCGGCGTTGCTGGGAGACTCATCGCCGTGGAGCCGCCAGTCATTTCACCGCTACGCCGACATGAGCCTGTCGCAGAGTGAGCTTCGGCTGCGAGGCCATCCAGCCAATCAGGGTGATTCAGCCATGAATGATGTCGATAATGTATCATTAGACAGGAAATGTTGGTGGTGGGGGGGGGGGCGTCTGTTGCTCATTTGAAATCCTCCGCACCCCACACGCTCCCGTCCCGCTGCGCCTCACTCCGCCCCCTGCGTCTGTCTGCTCCCATTGCTGCCAGGCCGACCGTCTCTCTCACGCTGCCTGACAGCCAATGGGAGCTCGCCAGCCTCCCCGCCGCTCGCCACTCGCTGCCTTGTTGCTACGACGACAGCGAGGCATGAGACCCACTTTAGTTGTAAAACTTGGTGTTGACTCTTCAGTGGCCAGGAGATCTCCCCTCTCTCCCTCCCTCCCATCCTCTCTCTCTCTCGCTCTCTCTCTCTCTCTTCCTCTCTTTCTCCCTCTTCTTTTCCTCCTCCTGACGATCCCCCTCCTCAGTGCCTCCCGCACACAGCCTGTCGCCCATCATGCCCTGGAAATCCCGTTCTCGTTTCTGCACGCCGGCGGGCGGACAGGCTCGGGATGTGCCCGGGGATAATCCGCGCGCTCGTCTCGTTCTCCAGCTCCCGTTCCCATGTCGGTCTGCTTCACTGGTTCCTTTCCGTGAGTGACGGTCTCGCCTCTCAGCATTTCGGGTCGGGGGGGGGGGCGGACGGGGGAATGATGTTGGCGTGATGCTGGATAATCAGGGTACCGCTTTTACAGTTTGGGCTGAACGGGCTTTGTTTAAACTGCTTTGCATTGGAACAGTGTGAGGAATTAAATATTTTGATGGTTGGGAACTCGGATGAATTTTCTTCCCCTGCGTCTCTGTTTTTCTGAAACCCTGCGTAGAGCTTATCCCATGATTATAACGCTCTTGTCTTTCTCTCTTTCAGCCCTCTAATATTAGATGGCGCCATGATTTTCCTGGTCGTAACTATGCTGGTCTTCGCCGTCGGCAGCCTAGAAGGTGAGCTCTGATTTTAGTTTTCTTCTAGGTGGGGGGTGGGGGGGGGGTGTGACACCGTATGCCATCTCTGGAGCTCTGTGTTTCTGGCTAAGGCGTCTTTGACCTCCGTGAGTCTGAGACGACGACTCTGATTGGCCAGAGGTACCTGAGAGAGCTCTTTGCTGACTGGATGCTCAGAGGCCCTGTCCTGCTTAGACCTAGTTCTGTTGTCACCTCATATGGGGTCAAAAAGTGTATGTACTTCTTTGGCGCATAAATAAATGGAATTTAGCAGTTCTGTAATGGATTTTCCAGTTTAATCACGCCGGCCAGACTATATATATAAAGGAGTGTTTGCTGCTAAATTGACTCCCGCATGTTCAGCGTTTTAGCTTCGTCCCAGTCCTGCAACGTCACCTTATCTCTGAGGTGTACTGCATTTTGATTATTTTCCCCTCCATCTCAGCCTGCTTGCAAACCAACTGCAGGGAATTTTTGCTTTAGAAATGGCTGTAAAGAAACTGTGACATAAATGTAATGTGACATCCTGTGACCCACTGAAAGTGGCCCCATCAGTTTATTATTATTGTGTTCACAGTGATCAAATCGGGTGTTTGTTTAAGCTGTGTTTCTTAATGAGTTTAATTCTCATTTAAATCTTGTTGTAATGGCTTCTACTACTGTCTGTATAGTTTCTGTTTTTCTTTTTTGTTTTCCATCTGCTGTAAACCCCCTTCCTCTGTCCCCCCCCCGGCCAGATGAAGGATCCCGGTTCGAGTGCGTGTGCGAGGGGACGGAGTGTGCCGGCTTGGCCCGGTGTGTCTCACATGCATGCTACACTTCCACCTCGTCCCGAAACGGCTCGTCACCCCTGCTGCAGAAGGGCTGTATTGGGGGGGGCGTGCTCTGCGGCAGCCCAGCGCCTCCTGGGGTCACGGTGGAGTGCTGCAGGGGTCATCTGTGCAATGCCAACACCAGCGTGGAGTCGCCTTCCAGAGGTGAATGTCTGCCATCACCCTTGTTGGGTATTCAGGAACATTCCCGGAGTAATATTACGTACTGGCCACAGGGGGCGATGTCAGGATAATCCAGAACTGTTTCATTCTCATTCACTGGGTAGATTGTGGGTTAAGGATGTGACCAAAAAGCTGCAGGTTCCAGTTCAAGGTGGGGGCTCATCTGTTGTACTTTAAGGAACCCTTTTGACCAAACAGGCTACAGTAAAATTTAGCTATATAAATGGTTTGATAGGTTATACTAATGAAACAGCCTCACATACAGTTGAATGTGTTCCAGACCACAGTCTTCCTAACCCTGTTGTACGATGTCATGGTCATGAGATGCTATTCACCTCACTTCTAAGTAGCTTTGGACAGAAGTGCCTGCTAAATAAAGTAAAATGTAAATTGTGTGTTGACTCAGCAGCGAGGTTAGTCATCGGAGTTGCCATCGTCTGTTCGTTTTGTTTAGCTCCTATCCTGAAGTCATCTTTGCTTGAGAATAGAGATTTTCTTAATATAATCCATCAATCCATCCATCCATCCATCCATCCATCCTCTAATCCCGGTCAGGGTTGGGGGGGGGTGGGGGGGTGGTGCCTATCCCAGGCAGCACAGGGCATCAGGCTGGGATATACACTGGATGTTAGTTTTCTTAAACCGTGCATCCTCTGGAAAAGCACTAATAGTGAATGATTCTCTCCCCCCCCCCACTCCCACCCCCAGGTGAGGAGGTACGGCTGCCACTCCCAAGGGAGCACGAGTGCGTGTGCGAGGGCCGCTCCTGCGCGACCGGCGACCGCTGCATGGGCCAGCAGTGTTTCTCAGCACTGACATTGAGCGACGGCGCCCCCTTGAGGCAGAAGGGCTGCTTCAAGGTGTACGAGCAGGGCCGGCTGAACTGCAAGACACCCCCGTCGCCTGACCAGGTGGTAGAGTGCTGCCAGGGGCATCTGTGCAACCTCAACGTCACCGTCAAGCTGCCTGTCCGAGGTATTGCACCAGGTTTACCGCGAGGTCCGTGCTCCCCGATGCTATGTCCGTTAGCAATCTTTTTTTCACGGCTTTTACGGACCTCCTGTGAGTTGATCGTTCTTCCGTCCTGTCACAGCTGGGAAGCATTTTACAGGCGGTCCCCGGGGTTAAAAACGTTCCGCTTGCAGACTCGTACTTATGAACGGACTGCCATAAAGCCTACTACGTTAAAAAATACAAAGGTTTGTAATAACGAACGCACGCACTACTTTGTAATTCTTGTGAAAAAATTGCGAGGCTTCTGTGCTCTGTGGGCTCGAGGTGCAGTGCAGCACCACATGTGGTTACTTTTATTATTACGGGCCAAGCACTGTAGGTGCCTAGCCATCTATTGTAATCATTAGAATTTTCACTATTATTATTATACTTTCTGCCATGGGAGTCTAATGCAGCCCATAGAACCACTTGGTAATTGTATTTTTTTTTAATTGTCATATTCATAGAGGACAGTCCAATGTATTCAGTCACCAAATTTGGGTTTAATACATCCATTGGTATAGCGCCACCACCAGGCCAAATTTCGAAAGACATTTGACCCTGCTTCCGCGTCTGCAAAAGACCTGTCTGCCTGATATCTGCCTTCCTATCTGATTTGATAAACAGATCTCTAGTGTCAGGTATTATTCCAATAGATATAAAAACGGCTGCAGTTAACCCAGTTTTCAAGACACCTGGTCTGAACCCAAATGAGCTAAACAACTATCAGACAACTATCTCTAACCGAATTCTAACCTGCCACGCCAAGCTGTTGCTGCCCAGTTGCAGTCTAATTTAGCATCAGACAACCTTTACAAACCTTTCCGACCTGGATTCCATTTACTTCATAGTACTGAGACACTCCTTAGTAGTGATGGACAAAATGATGTTTCATGAACCATGTGCTGTATTTTGTGAACCCACTAGATGGTGCTCTTTGATCAAAAATGAGCACAAAGCATGCCCCAAAACAAACCAAGAGCACCATCTAGTGGGGTCAAAAATTACAGCAAATGGTTCATGAGGTGTCCATTTTTTCCATCATCTGTGGCTGTCAGGATTCTACTTGTTCTCATTTTTCACACTTCACCTATGGACATCTTTCATTTAGTGTATTTACTGGTAGTGTACTCTCCTGACTTATTTCATACCTTTCTGATAGACAATAGTTTATAGGCATTAATACATACAGATCACACCCTGCCTTTGTTATGGATGATATTCAGTGTCCTAAAACTATATGCCGACAAAACCCATGTGCTAATAATCTATCCCAATGCCTTATTTGCTAGAATTGTGATATCTTTTAACATTGATGGTATTCTGGTTAATCCTTCTAAATATGTCGACAGGCATCATGTTTTATATGATTCGAATCTCACATTTGATGCTCATGTCAGCTCACTCACCATGTCTGCCTTCGTTCATCTTCACAATATGACCAGGCTCCGCCCCATGCTAAGCAACACAGATGCAGAAGCTCTCGTACATGCCCTCATCTCCTCCTGTCACGATTACTGTAATTTTCTATTTGCTGGTCTTTCTGCTGTTACAAATTCTATATCACAATACATACAGACGTCTGCATCTAGAGTTCACACTAACAATAAAATACAAACATCCGTCGCTTTCCGTATGCAGTATAAACTCTTTCCAATGTCTTTTAAGGCAATACATGGTCTTGCTCCCCAGTACATCGCCAAGCTCCTCCTCCCTTGCTCCCCAGTACATCGCAGAGCTCCTCCTCCCTTGCTCCCCAGTACATCGCCGAGCTCCTCCTCCCTGCTCCCCAGTACACCGCCGAGCTCCTCCTCCCTTGCTCCGCAGGTACTCGTCTCCTAGTGGTGCCTTTGCTTGTCTTCTAGGGGTGACAGGGCCTTCAGTTTTTTAGCAGATCACCAGACAAACACAAACAAAAGAAACAAAATATTCTATTGTATTTTTTTCATGGAGCAGTGCAGTAATATTTCTTGGAGTGGTCGGCTGCCAGTCCAGCAGTACAGGAAGTTTCTGGAAGCCTTGCTGCAGCCCGGTGCCAGAGCAAAGCGCATGATTTTTACTGCATTTTTGTGGGTTATTACCGAAGTGAATAGTGTCAGTGAAGTAACGGCAGACTTAACTGGGCCCGTGTCCCGGATTATAGGCCCCTCCCACTTCCCGTCCCTGCTCTCGGCAGACTGGGGACACCTGGGTGCTGGCGGTGTCTCTGCTCTGGACGAAGCACCCAGGCGCAGGATGGCTTGGCCGCGTGTCACCTTTTAGCTCAGCGTTGTTTAATCCTGGATTCTCGCGATTCATCATTCGGGTGGGTGGGGGCAGACGTCAGATAATGGTAGGTGTCTGTAATGGTTTTCGCTCATGGCCTATATCCTGCTTTATCCTGTTGAAGGCGACCTTTGTGGGGGGGGGGGGGGTGACACCCAGCATTTATTCACCTAAACTCCTTATCTCATTCCTGATCTATAGTTACATACCCTTAAGACCGATACTAACTTGGATCCCCCCAAGCAAAAAACTTCTTCTTTCCCTTTAGTATTGACTCTTATCTCTGTCTTGGTGCTCTTTGTATCTCACCTTCATAATCTGACCAGACTCACTCTATTTCACCATTTGGTTACCCTATGAAGACTCATATCAGTCAATGCAAGATAAGCAACGTTGACTTATAACTTGCCATTGGCTTACAGTGCCGACTCCAGGCTGAACTGTGACCTTTTATGCTTCAGACTCATTCTCCCATGAAACGGTGCTTTACAAATGGACATTCAAGGTCCACTAAGTTTTTAAATGAGCCATTTTAAAGGATCCAGTTCGGACTGTGCCGCCCCTCCCCCATCTGATTTCACTCTCTCTTGGATCTTTAGCATGAGGGTGGCGATCAGCTCTGTGACATGCACACGCACGAGAGCCTTGATCAGGGATGACGAACCTGATCCACGGAGAGCCGCTGTGGGTTTTTGGGATGATCTCTGTTAGGGCATAGTGGTGGCTCTGAGGCTAGGGATCTGTGATAGCAATCAGAAGGTTGCTGGTTTGAATCACATGAATGCCAGGAGTGATTCTATTCCGTTGGGCCCTTGAGTAAAGCCCTTAACCTGCAATCGTTTCATCCTGAGTATGATGTTAGTCTACATCCAGCCCTACAAGGAGGTCCCCAAACTTGCAGAGAAATTCGGGGGTTGGTGGCAGGATTGACACTCCAGCCACCGGAACTGAGGTGGACTGAGGTGGCGCTGAGGTATCGCCTGCTGCACTCAGGTTCTAATCCCTGAGGTGGTTTGTCATGTGGTGGGTGCGGCAACACGCCGTAATCAGCACATGCCCATTACCTCTGTTAGCCAATGATAAAGCAGCAGCTCTCAACTCCAGTCCTGGGGACCCACTGTTATTGGCTGATCAAATGATTGGCACTGCGAGTATACGACCATCTGAATTTATTTTTACATACATTTACTTAATAAAAAAAAAAAAAATACTTGTGCATGTGCGAATCGTCGTAAGTCACACAGGTTGCAAGCAGGGGACAGTCTGCGATATATTATTATTGTGACCAGCAGATGAAGGCTGTTGGATGTTGTAGCCTGAGAATGTGGAGGTCACCCGGATTGAGCTCAGCTGTTTCTCCCTCCCCCAGCGAGGTCTGCGGGGGACAGCGTGAATCACTCCGTGAGCGTGCTGGCCGTCGTCACGGTGGGCCCGGTCGCGGTCCTCCTCGTCCTGTCCGCACTCGCCGTGCTGCTGTTCCGGCGGGTCCACCGGGGCCACATGGAGCGGCTGACGCCGCGCGACGCAGAGTACGGCATCATCGACGGACTCATCGCCTCCAACGTTGGCGAGAGCACGCTCGCGGTACGACGCCGCTGCTCCTCACCTGAAACTTCCCCGTTCGTTTGGCACCCCCCCCCCCCCATCCCCGGCTGCGTGGGAGGCGGTTTCTCCCCAGCAGCACAGGTTTCCTCTGGGTACTATATACTGTCAGGAAAAAAAGGCAGAAATTTTGTACCTTTGTTGGCACAATAACTTGTCTCTGAAGCTGCACCCTCAAGAGTCTGCCAATTGTACCCTGGTAAATGTACCTTTTAAATGACAGAAAAGGACTCTGAGGGACATTTTTTGTACATTAGGGCTACAATTATGTAGGGTACAAAGCTGTACCGGGTCTGTTCCCTTTTCTTTTCCAACAATGTACGCACTACCAACAGTGTACGCACTTCCAACAGTCCAACAAGAACCGGTTTTGGCAGGTTGATTACTAAACCATAGTGTGTGTTTATGTCCTCTGGGATGGACTGGCATCCCTTGTAGGGTCGTACCCGAGCCTTGCGGCAGCTGCTGCCAGTGATGGGCTCGAGGCCCCCCCCCCCCCCAATAACTCAGACCAGAATACGGTGTTGATGTTGAGAACCCTGGGACTCCCTCATAAGAGCTGAGGGATAAATGTACGCCTGGGGGGGAGGGCCCTTACAGTGAACCCACCCCAGACTTTGTTTTGCATCATTTACATTTTCATTTACATATTTAGCAGACGCTTTTGTCTGAATCGACGTACGTCATGGTGAGAGCGTTCGCTTGGGGGTCCCTGCAAGACACGGGCTCAAATCGAACCCGGCCAGCATGTGTGCTGTGTGGAGATGGATGGATGTGGGAAATCGGACCAAATTCCACATGCATGCTTGTAAATTGAATACGCGTCTCACTGAACGTCTGTCGTTTCTGTGTGCGTGTGACCGGCGGAGCTGCTAGCTTACGTTATCCTACACTTCAGCTCAGCCAACTCTGTTCCTTGCCGCCGTTTACGGTGCGTTTGTGTCCATCGGCGCCGCTGGTATCGGGGCACGGTTGTGTAATGGGCGACTTCCGAGCCATTTAGTCATTCTCCAGCATGTCACGGCATTTGATGACCTATTATCCATTACACTGCTGAGAAAAGTTTCTGCCTGTAATTAAAATGCCTTTGGTGATGTCTCAAAGACTTATTAGGAACAGTTGTGACTGCTGAGCTGAATTTCTGGGGACATGCACACACAAATACACAATTTTCTTAATGCTGTGCTTTTAAACTATGCTGTTGCCTCGGTTAGTTTGATTTCCCCCCCCTCCCCCCCAGCCCCCATAAACTGAGAATTTAGAGTAGAAGCTAACACAGATGATCTTTTGTGGCCTTTTTGGGATCGTAAGAGCATCATTATTAGTGCATCTGTGCAGTCGCGCTAAAGTGCTTTGGATGTTGCCTTTTTCCCGTTTTTTTTTAATTTTTTTATTTTAGACTTGCTGCACACTGCCCTCTTGTGGCTGCCGAGACGTACTGGTCTGTCTCTGGCATAGAAGATAAAAATAAACGGCTTAACGCTGAGCCTGTTTGGAGTCTGGGACTGGGATTAGATCAGGTTTTCCGCCCACTAATCACAGATGACAGACTTGTGGGGCCAGAGGGTCTTTTTTTATTTTTTGTTTTAAAGCTTTCAAGGGGGGTTGAGTGAGGAGTAGCTGATGTGGGACTCTGGTTAGGTACTCTATGGTATGTCAGCCCCCCTGATTCTCAAGGGTTTGGGCAGCTGGACTTTTCACTGGTAGCGACTCCGCTGTCGGACCTTTGGGTCTGTACAGTACCTATAAATATCCCATCCAAGAAATGGTAGGAAATAATGCACAAGAAGGTGTCTTGTATGCAGTGGCATGGGAGAGACTGGTATTGGGAAGACACAACTTGGTAGTTTAAATGCAAAGGTCTATTTATTATAAATATTGGGGGGTACACCCTCCCCCCCACATAAGACACATAGGTCTCTTGTATGCAATGGTGTGGGAGAGACTTTGATATTGGGAAGGCACAAATTAAATATAAATGCTAAGGTCTATCTATTATCTATTATATTTATAATTTATATCTATTATAAATATTGGGAGGTGCACCCCCCCCCCCCATCAGAAACTAGTTGAGATTGGTCGAAAATGCGTGTATACTGTTTTCAGTCTGGACTTCCTGCATTCTGGCTGTGTCGTGTGTGTCACGCGTGTGAATTCCGTGTGATTGCAGACTTGTTCTCCCGTTACAGGACTTGCTGGATCACTCTTGTACTTCAGGAAGCGGCTCTGGGCTGCCCTTCCTGGTGCAGAGGACTGTTGCACGACAGATCACGCTCAACGAGTGTGTGGGTCAGTACGCCACTCTGTGGGCCTTGGGGGGGGCGTAGGAAAATCGAGGCTGGGGGGTATGGTTACATTTATTGTAAAAAATGAAAAACTTTGAAGGCCATTTAACGTCTGTCCAGTTAATGCTTTTCTTTGTGATGTATTTCATGAATAGCACTGAAGTTAAATGAGCTAAAAGCATCCCTCTTTTATTTATTACGTTGAATGCAGAGCAGTGTCATGCGTTGAACTGGGGGGTGTTTCCCAAAGCAGGATATCTCAGTTAACTGGGTCAGCTTAAGGTAGAAGTCATGATTGTCCAATAGGAACGCTCCTAAACTCGGACTCGGACAATCATGACTTCTAGCTTAAGTTAACCCAACTAACCGAGAGGTCCTGCTTCGTGGAATACCCCCCTGGTCTATAATAACTGGCTTAGCCAGAACCCAGCAGGAACACGACCACAGCAACTGAAAATCCTTTGCTGTGATAGGGAAGGGCCGCTACGGAGAGGTCTGGAGGGGACAGTGGCAAGGAGAGAGCGTGGCCGTGAAGATCTTCTCCTCGAGGGATGAGAAGTCCTGGTTCCGGGAGACGGAGATCTACAACACAGTGCTACTGAGACACGAGAACATTCTGGGTGAGTGGATGCACATCTCTGAGGTACCACCAAGCTGACGGGGACTGCTGGAGACAGATGACGTGATGTCATTCTTCCAGAATATTCTGTCGTCTTTCTGGGTCATCAGGGTCTCCTAATGTCGTGATGATAGTCTATCCTCCTTCAGCATTTCCAAGCATTGCAGTCTTTTCTAAACGTGTGGTCTTTTCTTAACCAGTATGCTTCACACAGGTTCCAGTGAATACAGGATGGTAATAACAGCAGTATATAACGACAATACCGCGGTAGGTCACAAACTCACACACAAGCAGAAGATGCACTAGTGCAGTCTGGGATAACCAATCAAAATGAGAGTCTTACTGCCTGTCTGGCCAATGGGCACCATCCCTGCTTCGTGGGCATGGAGATGGTATATTTCTGGACCAAAGAGCCTCTTGCAGTAAAATGATAAAAACAAAAAACAAACTGATTGAAGGACCAAGGATGCTGATATTTCCATCCCGGTTCCAGGATGCAAGCATCTGCAACCTGGTGTTTATCCCTCTGCAGGAAGCAGCTTTGGTTCTCATAGCTAAAATCGGTCGGTTCTGGGCGAGTCGCGGACTGGGCGCTGTGATCAGGCATGCGGCTCGTAATTCGGTCCATTTTGCAGTGTCACGCACCGAGCTTTTTATAACCGGTCGCTCTGATAAACACACCACCAGCTGCATTTCCGTAACACGTAGCAGCTCCGGGGTCTGATGTGTCCGGGAAGCTGTAAACATTTCTAAAAATGAGAGCTTTAAGCTCTCGTCATCCTTTATAATAGCCTTTATAATAACCATACTTTCTCCCATTAAAATAGACTCTTTTTTTTGCGGGAATATAGACTAGTTTTGCCAAAAGCTTAGTAAAGCCATTTAGAGCCGTATTAAAGCACTAAAGCAATTTTTTTATTATCCTTTTTTATTGATCTGCATATCCTTGATGCTATTGCCACATCGAAAGTGTCACTTGATGGAATCTGTTTTATATATATACCAAGGTGTCTTCCTGTAATTTTAATTATGCCTATATTACACACATACAGTCTGATTATCTATGGGGCCGTTTATTATGGTTTGGAATGAAATACCGCACAGGGGAGTTCAGACTTTGGAGGATGTTAAATGTCGTTTAGACATTAGAAGGGTTGGAAGATCCTCAGCATCACGTTTGGTTTTAATTGACCCGATTGAGTCTTGGGGTTTGAGCGCTGGAAGCTAATGGCCGTACTTGGCCGACGGGGCCCCTACAGGTGAGGACGGGGCCCCCTACAGGTGAGGATGGGGCCCGGATGTTGACCAGCTGTCCGCCCTCTTTCCCGCAGGCTTCATCGCGTCGGACATGACGTCCCGCAACTCCAGCACCCAACTCTGGCTGATCACTCACTTCCACGAGCCGGGCTCGCTGTACGACCACCTGCAGCTCAGCACGCTGGACGCCTCCGGCTGCCTGCGGATGGCGCTGTCAATCGCCAGCGGCCTGGCGCACCTTCACGTGGAGATCTTCGGCATGCAGGGCAAGCCGGCCATTGCCCACCGCGACCTGAAGAGCAAGAACATCCTGGTGAAGAGGAACGGGCAGTGCTGCATTGCTGACCTGGGTAATGATGACGGCTGCCCAATGCTGGGTGGGGTGCCAGGTATAGGCCACGCCCACCTCCGGGACCGCGATAAGCAGCTGGAAGATGGATGGTTTACCATGGTTTATTTTTATGGTCTTATTTATATTATAGCAACAGTAGGATTAGCAGTCATATATGTAAGCACTGTTGAACTGGCATGTATCACAATCCAGGTGTTTAACCATCTTTCTATAATTCAGTTCAATTCAATGAATTTTTATATAGCGCCTTTCACGACAGATGGTGGCATCAGAAGGAGTGTGACACCCCAAGGCATTTGACAATAGTGTGTGACAGTCCATTGCTACATCATTTATATAAAATAAAATATGACATGTAAAAACGGGATGATTGAATGAATGAAGAGAGAATGAAGATAATGGAGGAGGGGAACCAAAAACTAATAAATAAGAAGAAAAAATCCTCCCGGGGTGTGTGTGGGGGGGGGGGGGGTTGGGGTCTATGGATCAGTGAGAAAGTTCTCTTATGCGTTTATATTTATTTATATAGTTTATGGACATAAATGTGTGTATGAACATATACAGTACATGTATAAATATGATACAAATATATATATGTTTTTATATAATGTACTTGTGCATAAATATGTTGTGTATGTAACACGGGTCCAAATACTGTGCCCCCCATGTCTGAGAAGCTTCCTCTCGTAACCCGCCTGTTTGTTTACACTGTGTTTGCGGCTCTAATGCCAAGGCAGCACCGTTAATTTGGTGAGTTCGGGGCCCGGGGTCGGCCCGAGCCCTGAGCCTATTAGGAGACGCCGCCGGCGATGCAGAGGGGGTTAGTGGCCGAGTGGCCAATCAGCCCCAGCGGTAATACGTGGAGGCAGAAGTGGAGGCAGCGACGGGTCTTGGACGACGGCGCCCCCCCCCCCGTGCCATTTGAAATGCCCTCACTTACGAGCCCATTTCCAGAATGCCAGTAATTTATTAGGGCCAGAGAAATGTCAGCGAAAGTCCCCCCTAATGGCTTTTTAGTCAAGGCCGAGGAGCAGTCAGGGCAGGAATGCGCCGTGTAAAAACCAAAAACAGACAAGAGCCAATTTTAATGTTTTTTTTTTTTTTTTGATGCACTAGACCATCACGACGAGAAGATGTTGTTCCGCGTCCTATGCGACGTTTTGAGCAAGTCGAGCCCCGTTTTTATCCCCTTCGGTTTCAGAGTGGCTGTGTTTCTAAGTGCTCTGGGTTTAATCTGGGTTCCATCTTCATTATTGTAACATTTCTGGGAAGAACAGCTTCGCGCTGATGTGGTGTTTTTAATTGCTGCCTCTGTTTGCTGTATCCAATTAGCTGCAGAGCATTTCCCTGAAGCCACTAAATGTAAAAGGACGTAGCGCAGAGTCTTTAAAAACATATTACTAATTGAGTAGTTAAGATTAACTCATGAGCAAAAACCAGAATGTTCACAGCCTCCGCCCCACCAAAACTATTCTGAGGACATCATTCTATAATTTAATTTTTTTTTTCACCAGTATTGCATTATGTCCACAAGAGGGCAGCACCTATTTGCTCACTTAATGCAACCATGATGGTGGAACCTGTTGATTGTTTTCTGTGTTGCGCAGGGTTCCAGCATCGCCAGCCGGCCATTAATGTGCTTTCGGTGCTGGGGGGCTTTTGGAGTCGTGTCCGTGGGCCCGGTTCTGCTGTGGACGCCATCCATCTGTCATTCTTTCACTGATTCCTGCTCGGATGTGTGTTCCTGTCTCAGGGTTGGCCGTGATGCACTTTCAGGACACCAACGAGCTGGACGTGGGGAACAACCCCAAAGTGGGCACCAAGCGCTACATGGCCCCTGAAGTCCTGGACGACTCCATCCAGACGGACTGCTTTGAGTCCTACAAGCGGGTGGACATCTGGGCTTTCGGCCTGGTCCTGTGGGAGGTCGCCAGGCGGACGATTAGCAATGGTCAGTAGTTAGCAGAGCGCCCCCTGCTGTGCTGTTCTGACGTTTACATTAATAAGGTGCGCACACTTTACATGAGGACACAAGCAGCTCATCTCTAAGTGGACAGTCACCACAAAGTACTGTAGCTACCAGCTAATGTTATCAGAATTAAGTTTTTAACGTTGAAAATCTGTGGCCTGACAATTCCACTGGCCAAATAAATTTTGTGGAACACCGAGAATATCAACATTTTATTACTTTATACTAACCTCTTAGATAGTTACACTAACACTGCCCTCTAGGCTAATAACTGGAGTTATTGAAGTGTGTGTGTGTGTGTGTGTGTGTGTGTGTGTGTGTCCTACTCTATAGGTAATAAACTAAAATATGACACCTGACATTTTCTGGTGTTGGCCAGTGCTCCCACTACCTGCAGAGCAATGTAAATTGGCATGGGAAGGTTTTTTAAAATCAAAAACCAAAAAAAAACCATCCAGGCTTTAGTCTCTTGGTCAGTGTGCACTGGATGATGTGGCCAGATGTGTAAAAGCACTCTAGATATTAAAAGTTTTAGCATTAGTATTTTGCTATTTAAATATGGTCTGTTATGCATTCCTACTGAGCATTGAAAGAGAGGAGAAGTTTGCGTCCTCGTTAAGAATGTGAAAGGACGTGAGATTGACTGCAGAGTGCCCCTATGGGGGCCGGGGGCCGGCGTGTACCTGCTTCCCGCATGTCGGCGATTTTACCGCGGCAAGTCGCCGCACTTCCCCTCGAGGTCCATTTCCGCCAGCCGGCATGTACGAGGACTGCTGCCAGAGGTGAAATGGATATGGGCGTCTTGGATCAAGGGGGGGGGGGGTCGGCAGCCCCTGGCTATTTATAGGGGTTGCTGGGTGCGAGCCGCCCCACTGTGCTGGCGGTTGGCGCTGCCCACTCGCGGTCCTGCCCTCCGCTGTCTACAGCTCTGTTGTGTTTGAAGGCTTTATATAAACCCCAGGTTTCGGATCATAGGTTGGCGTTTCCCCCGGCAGAGTGGGCCCACCTTAGAAACTCACCCCCCCAAAACGGGTCCCGATTTCAGCGTGACTCTCTCTCTCTCCGTAGGCATCGTGGAGGACTATAAACCTCCCTTCCACGACATGGTACCCAATGACCCAAGCTTTGAGGACATGAAGAAGGTGGTCTGTTTGGACCAGCAGAGACCCAACATCCCCAACAGATGGTTCTCAGACCCGGTGAGTCTTCAACTCGCACTGTTCTCCTCATCAGATGCACTCTGAATGAAATTTAGGGGGCTAGGTGCATATGGGGAGGTGTACATGCCCCCGCCCCAATAAAAGGCAGATCCAAGCATGCTAAGCAATGCACGAACACGCAGCAGCCAAACATCTCCAACTGATCAGACACTGAAAAGTGAATTAATGAGCATGATGCTTCATGATGAATTGGCTGGCTTTTAATCTGTTGTCATGGGAACCAGGATAAATCCAGCACAGTAATTACCTGTACCTGTGCGGGTCACCTTACAGAATGGCCTGTGCCCCTAAGCAGCTCTTAGTATTCATTGTCACCCGCTCCCACCCGCCACCTTCTCCCCCACCCTCCATGATGAGATCCGGTTAATTGGATGTCTGCTGCACCATATCTACAGACCTCTACCACACATCTTCTCAGAAGTGCTAGAAACCGTTCGGATGCAATGTGATTAATCTCCCGCCTTTGGTCTCTGGACACTCGGTATCAAGTTTTCACCTTTCCGTACGATCATTTATCCCCACCAGATACAAAGTAATTCACTTTTGTTTTATTTGATTGTCCTGGCCGATTTAAATATCCCACCTCAACCAACTTGCTTCCCATTTTTTATTTGCAGACGTTGTCGTCCGTCGCAAAGCTAATGAAGGAATGCTGGTACCAAAATCCCTCAGCCAGACTGACTGCGTTACGCATCAAAAAGACCTTGACGAAAATCCACAACTCTCTTGAGAAAATTAAAGCGGACTGCTGAGCAGCCTCTAAGAGGAAGAGTCGACGTCCTTTAGAACAACCAGCGAAGTCTCTTTTTTGCCTGGCAGTGCTGGAAGGCAGGCAGGGTGCCCTCATAGCGGTACCTTTATTTATTTTGAACTTCTGTTGGGATATATTTTTCTTTTTTACGTCCAAAGATAGCTCAGCGGGCATTGAAAGACGGTCTAGTCAGGTATCCGAGGTGTGACCGTCCTTTAAGTTTGTGGGAGTTTTAGTAAAATGTTCTTCAAGGAAGAAACGACTCACTAGGAACTGGAAAATCTTACTTTGACACAATTTTCATTTATTTATTTTTTGTTTTGTTTTTTTGTTTTTTTTCCCGCGGGGGGATGTATTTCATAAAACATTCTATTGCACTAGCAAACTTTAAATTCCTTGCTTACACTGTGGAAGCAGAAGTGGAAAAACTGGGAGATAAAAAAACTGATTTATTTTATACTCCATACGCAAAGTTAGCATTGCTCAGAATAATAATTAAAAACTAGGGCTGTATTAGAAGCATTTCTTACACTTGTGTTTGCGGTGTTACGAAGCCTGTCCGTGTTTTTCATTAAACCGGTCATTTTATTTAACGCACATTGTGGTGCAAGCGGTCTTTCCAGTGTGGCGATGCCTGACCCATTTGGATGTACACATTTTCTATATCCCGTTTCAACCCTTCGTTGTAATTTAAATGTTTTTTATTTTCATTTTTCTTAGGCCATAAGTTTTTATGGTAAATAACAAAAACACACATTTAGGACATTAGACGATGGTGAACTTGTGCAGAAACGGAAGTCACTCCATGACATAGACAGCGTCGATTACATTAGTACTTTATATAAAGTGGTGGTTTCTAAACTATAAAATGCAACTATAAAAAATAATCTGAGTATTGTCATCTTTAAACCAAGTTTTCTAAAGTTCATGTAGGCCTAATTCACTCACTAAATTCCCTTGTGCCAAATTTCAGCATCTCGTTGCATGGGATTTATTTTAGTGTGAAAGGTGAGTCACTTCTCTGCTTACAACACAGCCTACCTACCACTAGTAAAACACATATTTCGTTACAATACTTTTATTTAACAAAGTCGGGTCAGATTGTAAAAACAAGCATATAATTTCACGTAGGCCTACCACGCTGCTATTTTGCGCAATAACAGCGTGACAATTACCGTATACCATGTTTAAATCATTGTAGGCCTATCTGGTGACATGAATAAGTATTAAAGATGGCTAAAGTTTAGATTGACTGTTGTATAACTGTTCGGCTGCATTTACCAGCCCATCCCTGCTAATGCGGATCCCCGTGCCGGTTAGCCGCTCTGATTCCGTTTACTTGTCTCTCGCGTTCAGACCCACTATTGCACGCGCAGCTAAAATCGATGTATTGGAAGACTTCCGGTATAATTATATCCAGAAATCGAACTTAACTACACCAACTACCCAATTTCTTAATTTAAGAAGGAAACAAAATCAGCCGCCTAATTAATTTCGTGCGTCTGGTAAATACGAGTTACGAAACACTTCGGCATCAAATGGGATTAACGAAATCCGGGGGAATTTGTTTTTCTCTAGTATGCATTTGGGAACGAGTTGGCTATGCATTCATAAATGTAGAGGGTGTATTCTTCAACATAACTATTTCTAGAATGATAAATCATTTACCAGCACTGTTTTCGTTCATATATTGGCACACGGACACCAAGAGCAGACTTACAGAAATATGTAACCCTTTAATAATGTTGGTCTTAGGGCACACTATCGGAAAAGGTTAATATTCATTGCCTGATTTTTGCCAAACCCTTATTCGTGTGTTCCGCTGTTTCTATAGTTACGAATAGTTTGCTTAATGTATTCATGAAAGGAAAAGGAAGACGATATATTCTGAGTTTGACCCCAAATCCTTTACTAACAGTCTGTTGAAAATTAATAGCAGTCTTTAATGGAAAATGAACTTTAAAAAGGTTGTTACTTGAATTTAATGCTTCACCGAAAACATTTAAACTACGGCAGGTTCTTATAAGGCTTGTCCATTGCATACTGCAACTGTTTGTTTTCCTTGGATGTTGTTGGTGTTTTTCCATGAACTTTGCCAAACAATTTCTTTAAACCTCCTTATATCAGAAGGTTTTATTGGAAAACTTAAACTCCATAAATTCTTTATATAGCTTTATTGTAACACGTTTTGACAATTTTCTTTTTCTTGGAAGTTGACCGTTCACGTGCTGAACTCCAATTGCCCCTTCGGCTGATGCATTTTAACTTGCGCGCTGAATGCAAACCTGGCGCATTTAATCCAATTCTGTTGCTAAGGGCTACTTTATTTCAGCTGCTGTAAAACTGAAAATGTCACTGGGAGGAATCACTCTACACCTGCCCTAAGACCAGCTTGTTAGGGGGGGGGACATGCATTCATCGAAATACGATGCATAATATGGATATTAAAATTAATAATCTAATGCATTATATTCTTTTGCTACTGCGCACTTATCGCCAGCGTGTCACATTGGGAGCAACACCATTGAGTCACCCACACGTGTATTTGTATGTGTCTGTAATGGATTAAAAAAAAAAAACGCACTAATCCCCTTCATTCCCAATCCCCGCGTGGGGCGGAGCGCCTCTCCCGCCCCGTCCTCAGCGCCTGGATCGGCTCCTTTTTAGTTGAGAAATGCGAAGCGTGGCTGGTAGAGCAGAGCAGCGCCCAAGTGTCGGATGATTGTCGCTGCTTAACAGCGCCTGGACTGCAGCCTTTTCCTCCAGTCGGGCACATGATTCTCGGGCCATGACTCGTCCCAGGTATCGCACTGTTGGGACGGCGCTGATTTTCCTTTCCGTCGCACAGCTGAGCACAGGTAGCTTGTCTAACTTCTTTGGTGTATTTTTTTATTCTATAGTGCAATAAGATGAACTTCTAAGTCTTTGCAATCCGTTCAAGCGCGTTTTACAAGTAGATGTAGTGTGGAGTCAATGAACGTGGTTTATATTTAGACATGCTTTGTTGTGTCGGTAAATGTTTCCATTCATAAACCGCTTTCCTTGATTCATTGAAACGTATTTGTTCGAATTTGACTGACAGCGAGCGAAATTCCGTGTTTCATCAATTTACCTGACTCAAAACGTATATAAAGTGACAGTACAGCTGATCGCCATTAACTTCTATTAATGTAATTTTTATAGTTGCTTGTTGCACAAAATCACGTTCCCGGTTCTGAGCATATCAAATGCCAAAATATTTCCCCGTTAAACAGTACTGCAGATTCATTAAAAACTAGCACTTTTTAAAATATCCGCTTTCTGTAAATGAGTCGTTTACTAGAGCATACATTCCTCCTTGACGCAACCTACGTCGCGCTTTACCTGGGGTTGACTGTTGTATTTCGGTTTCACAGGTATCAAATACACGTGCATGATAGATAAACAACTTGGGATAAAGAGTTTGCATAGTATACTTTATCTAAATGTAACGTTAAATAGTTAAGCAGGTGTTGTGTACAAGTGAATCCAAATAGAAACGTGCATTTTATTGAACGGACGTGGAGTTTACGTTTGCAAGGTAAGTTTTTGGGTACATCGAGACAGTGCGATGAGTATGTTTGGGAAAAACCCCATCATAAGGGTTATTAAACCTGACTTGTGTTTGAAACTGGCCTGCGCACAAGCTATATAAACATTGTAACGTAGCAGATATTAAAAGTTGATTTATGAAGGCTGTTTTTTTATATCCTACTGTAGTGAAGATAATACCCTAGGTATGTGTACTCAGGGGAGATTTTTTTTTAAAGCTGCTTACACTAGACCGTGTAGCACTAAGCCAACGCTGAATGCAGCGTTCCTCGATTACATCAGTCTAACTAGAAAGCTACCCTTTTTGTGACGTCATAAACACACATGGCTCCCAGATCTAGTTTGTCAGTTACTGAGTGAGGTATACAGCTGACAGTCTACTGTTGGTTTAAAAACGTTTATCCGCGATTTTATAAACTGATAGTAAAAGAATAGTATAGTCTTTGACTTTCTTTTTTAAGTCAGTGAATCAGAAGTTGAATGCAGATGGAATGCCTTTTCACGTGGGCTATATACTAATCACTTAGCGCTGCCGCATCGCCGGTTGACTACTGGGGGAATCGCGCAGGGTGACATCGGGGGGAGCCTTGTCACCGTGGGCTGGGGTCGCGGGGGCAGCCGCTGGTCTTGCACGTCTGGAGTGTTTTGCAGGCTTCAGCAGGGTGGGGGCCATGCGACGGCTGGCCGGAGTTGGCAGCATGTGCTCCCATCCCTTGTTATAGGGGGAGGTGGGGGAGGGTCTGCATTCAGCGGTAAGAGATAGGGAGTGAGTAATAGTAATAGGGGGAGAGAGATCTCGTTTCTCCGTCTTTGAAAATATTTAATTTGTCTTCCGTTGGGTACATTTTTGAACATGTTTTTGTTTTATGTTTTGGATAGGTGGTTACGGAAGACAGATTGTTGCATGTATGGTTTCTGCTATCCAGTCGAGTTTAGTGCACTTGTTATAGCCAGGTATGATTTAGGTATTTATTAATATCGCGTGTAGTTTAATTTCGAGGGGCGATTCTAAAAAATAAAAATTAGTACGATTAAATGGTAATGGGCGCGGGAGGCAACCTTCACGAACGCCGTAAGGTTAACCCAGGGACTGTGGGCAGGGTCGCCCTTCTGCCCGGACCTGAGAAGGATCGAGAAGGTGTCAACACCTGAGACCCGTTTAGTTCCGCTATCTGGAGGCTGCCGCTCCTCGTTATTTGAGGGGAAAATAATCGAAAACGGGATTTGTAACAAATATATCTTTGGCTTAGTCACTTTATAGTCATTTAGAGAAATTTGACGGAATCACGGCTTTCAGAGTACAGTTTAGGTGCTTACCTCGGCCGGTCGCTTGAGAGTTCTGAGTTTATAAAGTCACCAGTGAGTTGGTTTTAAAAAAAAATAAATAAAAAATCACCGTTTAAATTGGCAAACGTGTGTCTACATCTCTGCATCTTGAATTTGCTTAGATTTTTATATTGTATACATGCTTAAGGTGTGAGAGAGAAGCTCAACTTCAACAGCATGATTGACATAAATTTTTTTGTCAACCATTAGGGCCTAAAAACGAAATTAATCATGCATTTTGTAATTTTGTCAGTTCAACTTAAAACGCCGCAATCTTTTCAATATTCAGATAATAATCCTCTACACACTGAGAATTTTATGAGAAAAGTGCTTTATAGCAGAACCCGTAATGCAATTTGCCAACTGGGTGGATAGTGTAACATTTCTGTTGCCTATATGGACTGGTTTCAGCAGCATGGAGGGAAATTTTAAGCTCGTCTGGTGTTAGATGCAGATCTATTACAGAGCTGCTTTTCCTCGAGAAGCAGGCGAGAGAGACATTATGTAACCAGAAGTCTTGCTCTCTAACATTTTGACATTTGGGTTAACTTGTGGGGAAATACCATGAGCAGTGTCTTCACTGATACAGTATGTAGTAAGCCTTCTGCAAATGCGTAGTAGGTATGATGATGCAGTGGATGTTTCTGAGGATTCTTCTCTAAATGTAATCTTATGAAGTCACGGTGTAAATTTGACTGCCATAACTGTGGCTTTGGGGAGCAAGCAGTAGAGTGGGACTTTTGAAAATGCAGTTCGTTGAAGTTGGTGGATCAAAGTTAGATTGCAAAAATGTTTCCATCAACAGGAATCGGTTCTTGTATTAATGTAGCTACACAATGGAAAGTTGAAGGTTCTTGGGCTTCCTGTCCTACCTACTTTGTAGGATCCCTGATACCTCTCAGGTGATGATACCCAAAGCTTTGATTGACTGACCCCTCAAACCCCTCCTTCCCCTGAAGGCCTGAAATGCATCTGCCACATCTGCACCAACAAAACGTGCGAGACGGGTGCAGACGGGGCTTGCTGGAACTCCGTGATGCTGATCGACGGGAAGGAGGAGGCCGTCAAATCCTGCCTGACGCCCTTGGAGATGAAGGGCCAGGTCTTCTGCTACAGCTCCCGCAACGTCTCCAAAAGGAACTGCTGCTTCACTGACTTCTGCAACAATGAGACTCTGCACTTGTACCCAGGTAAACCTGACAGAGCCCCTTTCACCTCCCCGAGGAGCAACTTGGAGGAGAAATAGCTTCTGTGGGATTGTCAGGTCCAGTTCCAAAAGGCCTATGGATGTTCTCCCGATGGGGAACAAAATATCGTGTTGAGTCTGTAAATATCCAGGATATCAGCCTTGGACGAATGAGCATTCATCGTGATGTGGGGTCTCCCCGTCCTGGCTTTTATGCTCAGGATTTGGTGCTTGTCAGGATGAGTTAAATACTGCTTAAATTTGCATGCCCAGTCACATAACATTTCAAGCTGAGGTTATCCTCTTGGCATCCTGTGACATTGTAGCCATGGCCTGTAAGTACCTCAGCAGGGATTAGATGCTTTTCCTATAGCTGCTTTGGGGCTGGTCAGACTCACAGATGGGACACCATAGCTATATGAGATTAGCACTTTGGAAAAAATGTACTATATGCATCAGCTGCAGAGAAATTATCAAACAAGATGAAAATACTCCACAATTACAGCCATGGAAAAAATTGAGTCTACGATTTTAATTAAATCTGAATTTTTAAATCCCGGTTTAATCCTGGTTCTGCTGGCAGAGGCTACACTGAGCGTCAGGCTGCTTCCAGGCTTAGAGTTTCTAAGACAGCAGGACACAAGAACAAGGTGAAGCAGGAGACACTGGGAATGACCAAAAACCAGCCAGGTAGAGAGTGGAAGTGACTTTCTAATGGCAGTGATGACCGTTAACTTATCCAACAGCTTCTCATGAATCATAGGACGACATCAAGTGACCTTCAAAAGGAATGGGAAACATTAAGTGCAGGTGTGAAGTGCACTGCTAGGACAGTTCATATCAGGCTCTTAGAAGCAGAACTGAAGTCCCATAAAGCCAGGAAGAAGCCCTTCATTAATGAGAAACAGAGAAGAGCCAGGCTGCAGCTCGCAAATATATATAAAAGAAAAATATTATTCACAGATGCACACCCATAAATTGAACAGAGTGAAACAAAAAATTGCGCAGTGGTCTCTTAATTTTTTTTCCACGGCTGTAGAATAACAAAATGGGGAAGTATGAGACTTATTATGAAACCCAGGTAATATTTGAGGTGCATAGTTCAAGTCTAGAAAATAAAAATCCAGACCAAGCTTTTATTTCAGTCAACCAACTGAGTACTCTGTGACTACGACTCATTTTATGCTCAACTGGTTGGTTGAAACCTATCCGCCTCTGGTCTTGCATTAAAACTACAGTTCAAATCTGCTTACATTTTCCTTACATCAGTTTCAGCATCGTCTGCATGACTCAGAGGGTAGCCCCCCCCCCCCCCCCTTCCTGACTGTGAGAACTTATCAAGTGGGATGGATAGACGGATCGATGGACGGGCATCACACTGATATCTGTCTACTGCATCACCCATTACCTAATTGGAGCTGCACTTTCTATATAGCGGTCCAGGCTGAGAGACTTATGGCGCAGAGACACGATGCTGGATGGTGGGGGCGGCCCATGGCTGGCACTGTAACCTCACACCTCCTGGCTCTCTGTGTTTCCTCCAGAACGTGGGCTTTAGGTGAATTTTTTTTTTTGTCTAAATTATTGCCTGTGGTATGGATGCTCCACCAAAGTCCTCACGAGTCTGGGGCACTAAGGGTAGAAGTTCCGAATGAATGCAAGCGAGCCCTGAATGATTTATTTAGCTCAGATGTTAACAACCATGGTGTCAGTTTGAGAATTCCATACATCACAACAGTTCTAGTCCAGGGCTTCGTAATGCTGCGATTACCGTAACTCTGGAGGGATAACATTCAATGTGACAACCCTCAGACCGATCAGGCCTCTGGGCTAAGCCTGAAGATCCTAGCAATTCCCTTATGCCCCATGGAGCATGTTGGTGTCCTGTCTAGATGTTCCCCTGCCATCTGCTTCCTGCCATGTGCCCTAGGGGCAACATACGCGAACACTCAGCAGATTCTTCCCTATGGCTCTAGGGGACCCAGGGACAGCCTTCTATCTCACCTCAGCTCTGCATGGAAAATGCATGTATGGAGCCAAACATCTCATGATGCTTCGTTCTTTTCATGTTCTTTTGTCCCGTGGCAGGGTTGTGGAAAAGATGTTTTATTTGCTCAATATTTTTTTTTCTTTAGATCCGAAATGGATGGATTTGCGGTTTGAATTACCTGTAATATATTGTTCTTGTCTAGTCAAGGTGAGTGCTCAAGCTAATTATGCTGCACTCTCTTGTAGTGCTTTATTTTGAGAACTGGAAAGAGATGGGTAAAGCTTATTTAATGCCCATTATTTTTTTTTGGATCACTCTGAATAGTTATTTGTAGAAGGTTATTTATTTCAGAACACTCTATCTCCGCCGCTCCGTTCTTGGACCAGGAATTCTTATCTCGTCCCCATGGACCAGAACCTCTTGCCTGGTTATTAGCGTAACATGTGGATGGGTTACATGATCGAACGCCATTAAGGGCGAAGTTGTGAAATTGTGCTGTTGTGAACTTCTCCCGTGTGGGTGAGGCAGAACCAGGGATGGGTTTTTGGTTTTTTTCATCAGCAGCTGCATTCGGTCCCTGATGACTGTAACCCTGGTTACCACATTGATTTTATTTGTTGTGACGGAAACGCTCAATGCTTCTGATGCTATATGTGCCAGTTGCCTGAAGTTTGCTTTTTTTTTTCCTCTCGCGTTAATTGGGCAGGGGGAATGGGGGGGATGTTGTTTTTTTTTTTTTTCCCCTCTGACCTTGTTAGTCTAAGGTTGCTCATGTGACAGACAGGATCTCTGGCTGTAAAGTTGAGCCTTGTTAACAGGCTGGCGGGAAATCAGATGTTCAGCAATAGTTTTGCTATTTTGATCAAGTCAAGTAGGGGTCCTTACACTAAGGCTGCAGTGTCTCTCTGCTTTTTATTACTCTCCCACAAACTTTGGGTCGACCAGAGCTCTTATTTCTGTGGCTGTCATACGCTTTAGTAAACGGTTGTCTTCACCTAAAGCTCCTTGCAATCACATGACCAAAGCGGAGGCACTGGAAACCTTCCAAAATACAGATGGATTCCATGAAGTCCAAAGTACTCGGTTTTGGGAAAAGTTAATTTGCATCTTGAAGCTGTTCAATGATTCATTGATCTCTCTACAGAATATTTCACCCTAGGGCTGGCATTTCAGCTATATATGGGCATACAAATATATAACTGAAGTTAAGCTTCATTTGTATTTCATAGGCATTCAACGTGCTGCATTTAAACACAGAAATGGAAATATCTAAAGCAAAACCAAAAACTTCATTTCCCCCCCATGAATAACTAACTCATCCTTTGGCCAGGTTTCTATAATTGAAAAAGGTAATTTTTAAGACTTTTTATGCCAGAAACAAAGGGCCATTATTGTTGCAAGCTTGTTAATATGTTGTAATTGCTGTGAAGATGCTGTTTGTAGTCAAATTACCTCCACTGTTGTATCTCAAAGAGTTCGGCTCTCAGCAAGCCCAGTAACAGCCGGCTAGCCTTGATCTCCAGGAACACTCCAAGCTCTGGCGAAATCCAGTGCTTTTTAACAAGTTCTCGAGATCCTCACTTCTGGGTTTAGTTCATATAGACACCCCCCCCCCTCCCGTGGGACGGCCTGCTCTCGGCCGGGTACGTTGGGTTGCTCAGTTTGGAGATCGGCCTCGTTCCAACTGGAGCCTGAGGTTGGGAATAATTTTAGGTGAAAGACTCGATGTGTATTACAAAACACCGCATGTCCGTTCCTCTTCCATCCCCTATGACACAGATTCTTTGCAGACCAGTGTTGCAAGAGTGGGATCATGCTTCAGAGAAAATAAGTGAAAGCGACAGACTGTAGGGGGCTATATAAGGATCGGCAATGCGGGAATGGAAGTAGCGGGAAAGGATGACCTGTCCCACCCAGCATCCACTCATCTCATTAGGATGGGATGGTCACTGTGCGGCGTATATTCCTGAGAGAATGGCGGAGAGTACATCTCACACGTGGGCATGATGAGCAGATACACCACTGCCCTGCTGTAAGGATGTAATAATGCACTGGACAGTGCTTCAGCTCCACACTGGGTGTATTTCAACATGCAATAACACCCCCCCCCCCCTACACCATACAATTTTCCCTATAACAAAGCTTATGGCGCTAAATTCTCACATAGTGTAATACTAATTTAGGTGTACAAGTATTGTGTTATTCGACGCAGTCCTTAGTGACCCCAAGCAACTCCGCATTTTTGTTCTGTCCTGGTACATCTGAATCAAGAACACCAAATACCTGGTACAGGTGTGTTTGGGAGCTGGGAGGGAACAAAAACAAGGACTGTCTGGGGCTGTCCGAGGACTGGACTGAGATACATTGTTCTAAAGCAGGGGTGGGCTATGTTATACTCAAAGGGCCGGTGTGTGTGCAGGTTTTTGGGATAAGCTTTAGGTCAGCTGTTCAGGTGTGAGGACTCTTCAGCCAATCAGTCCTCTAATTAGTAAACTGAGTAGGGAGTTGCAGCGCAAACCCGCACACACAGCGGCCCTTTGCGGATAAGATTGCCCACCCCTGCTCTGAAGACATCCCTTAAATGACTGTGTTGTATTGCACAGCCTGTATGGTGCCATCTGAAATCTCATAATGAAGAGACCACTAGGGGGCAGATGGACTGCAGTCTGTGTTCATTCTGCAGAATTTCATTTGGTACAGACTCTTCATTTTTTCCTCATTCCCTGCCATTACTTGTTTGTTTATAGGTTTCATGTTAAGGTGCCGTGAGTCTTAGCAGTTGGCATCCCGTGTGGGACTCGGAGGATGGCGGAGAGAGGGTTTTTTCGGAGACTGTGACGAGGTCTCCCCATGACCGGACACCATTAACGCCTCGATCGCATCTCAGCAGGGAGGATCCAGATGGAACCTGGCTGGGGCAGGCTGGAGCTGGCGGCCGTCGTCCTGGTCCCCATCTGCCTGCTGTGTGCGGGGGTGCTGTTGGTCATCTGCGCAGCTCACGGGAGGCACTGCACCCATCGCCGCATCCGCAAGCATGACGTGGAGGAGCCCCTGGATGACCAGAGCCTTATGGCCCCCCACAAGAGCTTGAAGGACCTGATCTTTGACATGAGCACGTCGGGCTCCGGATCAGGTAATGGCGCTCTGCCCTCTACGCCAGCAGATCTTAAGTGTAATCAAGAACATCCAAAGTTGGTCTTATTCCTCAAACATTCTGATGGTTTTCTCCCAATTTATGAATTGGGAAGGGTCTGGAACAGTTTTTCTTGGTTTATCTTATAGTTGTAGGTCACAATTTCTCCTACCAGGACTCCCACTGCTGGTCCAGCGAACGATCGCCAGAACCATCATCCTGCAGGAGACCATCGGGAAGGGAAGGTTCGGCGAGGTGTGGCGGGGAAAGTGGCGAGGCGAGGACGTGGCCGTGAAGATCTTCTCGTCCCGGGACGAGAGGTCCTGGTTCCGCGAGGCAGAGATCTACCAGACCATCCTTCTCAGGCACGAGAATATCTTGGGCTTCATTGCTGCTGACAACAAAGGTAACCTCACAGGAACGCTTGGGATCTGCCTTGGCTTTGACTGTCTTTCATAAACGCTAATTGGATTTAAAAGGTTTGACCTGTAAAGGACACCTTATCGTCACAGCAACGTGACTGATATACCTGCCTGCTCCCAGTCTCTGGGTAAAACTTGGCTTAGATTTTAATGCATTTAACAAGTCAGAAGGCATGCCGTGTGTCAGGATGGGTGCAGTTGTTCAGGGGCAAGACTTTTCTCTTCAAAACACCTCCTATCCGCAGAGACGCTTCTTAAAAGGCAGATTAACAATGAGTGGAGAAATAAAGCTTTGGCGCCCCATTGTGGATAAAACTGTCAGTCTTTAAACTGGCTTAACCTGCTGACCGCTGGCAGTGACTGGCAGCGCACGGTAATCCCAACTAAACATGGCTTTCAAAGCCTCGTTTTCTATCCAGAATTACAGGAGATACTCGACATGGCTCCAGGAGATGATTGTCTGCCATTCTGATACTGTCTCAACCTGAAAATCCTGCAATGAATGTCTTCTAATAAAGTAACCAGTAACATCTATAAGAATCTGTGAACACATTCATAACACATTATAATGCATTCATAAAGTATTATAAACATGGGTATAATTATTCAGTAAAGATTTTAAATTTTGAATGCTTTTTGAAGCTCTTATTTATAATGCACTATAGATACCTTTGTAGTACAGTACAAAGCATCCTTAATGCTTATACCGACCATTATAATGCATCATGAAGGTATCTATAGTGTGTAATAGATGACGGCTTCATTGGAGCTTATGGAGTATTATAATCAACCCTGTAATATATCTCCGTAATCTGAAGGTATCTATGCTGCATTATAGATGAGAGCTCTAAGTAACGTGTTACCAAGTAGCCTTCTCTTGAACTCATGATTTAGACCAAAGAAGGCCGTTAACGAACTTGTCGACTTGGCTGTTATGAGGCGATCGCCCTCCAGTACTGATTGCAGAGGGAATAAATGTGAGGATGTAGATTCTACGGATCTCCGTGCTCTGTTGCAGATAACGGGTCGTGGACACAGCTGTGGCTGGTGTCTGAGTACCACGAGCACGGCTCTCTGTATGACTACCTGAACAGACACACGGTCTCGGTAGAAGCTATGCTCATCCTGGCGCTCTCCATCGCAAGCGGGCTGGCTCACCTCCACATGGAGATCGTCGGCACTCAGGGTGAGTCGGCAGTGGGCGGGATCTACTGGCCGGTTTGACCCAATGGAGAGCGATGAATGAATGAATGAATGAATGAATGTTACATTTATATGGCACTTTTCAAGACACCAGTAGCACTTTACAGAACCAATGGGAGCCACTTCAGCCACCACTGAGTGGCTCCCACCTGGATAATGGGAGTTACGTGTCATCCGAAAGACGGCCCCATTTTTTACAGCAGAGTTCCCGTCACTGCACTGGGATCCATGGGGTGGGCTAACCTGCTGGCCACAGCAACACCTCTTCCAGCAGCAACCCAGTTTACCTGGTTGGTCTCGCATCCAAGTACTGGCCAGGCCCAAACCTGCGTCACATGGATTACTTGGTCAGAACTGCAGCTGCATGGCTGCTGCCAAACTATGTAAACTAGGCTGTAGGGTCAAACCAGTCCACTGGTCTTGAGTTGCAAAGACTCTTCCCTTTGTTGCTGTGGAAGAAATTCCACATTCTTTTGTATTTGATGGTAACTTGTATGATTAGCTTTAGTAATGTATTTATTCAAGGCAACTCAAGTTAAATGATTGAGTTTCCTATCAGCACTGAAATTCCATGTGCTTGCAGCTGACAGTCTATTTTGCAGGGAAGAAGCGAATGAACCCAACAGAACCTGAATGTTAATTCGGTGTTTCATCTGACAGGAAAACCCGCCATCGCTCACAGGGACCTGAAGTCCAAAAATATCCTGGTGAAGAGGAATGGCACGGCGGCCATTGCAGACTTGGGCTTGGCCGTAAAGCATGACCCAACCACGAACACGGTCGACATCCCAGCCAATCACAGAGTGGGAACAAAGAGGTAACGGTCAGGACCAGGCAAACGTTATTTGCATTCAGTCCATTTTTGGTTTATTACATTATAAAGTTGTAACTTTTTACTGCTTAAAATTTATCTTTTTACAATAAACATTTATGATGCCTTTTCTCTAAACAAAAACAAAGTTAATAAACATAACCATTTGGGTAACCTCAAGAAAAGATGCCTCAAGATAAACTGATGAAGTTCAAAGGCTCTTTAGAGATTTTTTATTAGATCCAGCTGAGTGTTTGTGAGATTTCCAGAGATTATTTCTCATGAGAGACATATGAGCAATAAGCCAAAGTAGAAAGGATTATAAATGCCTTGTAGAATTCAGTTGTTTTTTTTTTTGTATGGAGAATTTGGAACAGAAAGATCTCAATCACTTTTTCTTTTCCCTTGTAATGTAATTTTTGAAAATTTCAATTTTTTGTTACCATCCAAATTTCACAGAGCAGAAGATAAAGTTCAGAGTGCGGCTCGTGTGACGCGGTTCAGCTGTTTTGTTTTGTTTTGAGCAGGTCAGTGTAGCTTCTGTTCTAGGGACTTTGTGTCCATTTCAGCACCGAGTGCGTCACGGTTTACGGCCGGACGGAAGATGCACATTATTAGGATTTAATGACTTTATTGACCATAGGTACATGGCCCCAGAAATCCTGGACGACTCGATCAATATGAGCAACTTTGAGCTGATCAAGCGGGCGGACATGTACTCCTTGGGTTTGGTGTTCTGGGAACTGACTCGGAGGTGTTCTGTGAGAGGTAATGACATCAGCGGGCATCTTGGGTAAATGGGAACGTTAACATTTGTTAGCACTGATTTCTGCAGGAAAATGTTGCAATGAAGCAAAAGACAGAACAAAAACAATAACGTGCAATAAAAATGCATTCGATTATGTTCGTCTGCATTTATCAATTACCTGTTTGATTTGACCTAAAAGCACATACATAATGCCGTGATGCGTCTTTTTCTTTCATGTGGAAGCATTAAGGATCAAAAAAGTATGTGAAAATAGCACTTGAGCCACAGATGAAATAGCTTGTTATAGTGAGGATGTCATTCCTGTCTTTTTATTTGTAGGAGTCTATGAAGACTACCAGATGCCTTATTATGATATTGTGCCTTCCGACCCATCTATAGAGGACATGAGAAAGGTCGTGTGTGACCAGAGACTGAGACCCAACATTCCAAACCAGTGGCAAAGCTGTGAGGTAAGGATGCTCTCTATAGATTGACGGACGCTGACTTTAGACTGCACTTGGGTGCGATTTGAAGGCGTGTCTCTCTGCCAGGCACTGCGGGTGATGGGAAAAATCATGCGGGAATGCTGGTATACCAACTCTGCCGCCCGGCTCACCGCTCTGCGAGTCAAGAAGACCGTCTCCCAGGTGGCCAACGTCAAAGACATGAAAGAATAATGGACCCTCACCCTCGCCCAACGTTGACAATGTACTTCATCGTAGAAAAACCCAGAAGAATGCCACCGATTGACTTTCATGGCTCCTCCCCCATGTTTGTGTTTAGTACAGCCCGAGTACTAACCTACCCACTGTGCCAATGGACCCAAGTGTCCAGCGGGACATTTCAAAGACAGTTACTGTCCTGCTGGCCCCAGTGTCACTCGCCAATGGGTGACGATAATGTGAAACGACTAAACCAACCATTGTCAGAAGACTCCATACTACCTCAAAACAATTGTCCAAAGCTTGAATTGCTTCACACTGGACAAAGTGCACATCTGTGAATGTTACTGAGTAACAGCCCCTCCCCCCACCCCTGCCCCAAACCATGCCTGATTGTACAAGACACCCTTCCTCTGCCCAAAAAACCCATCAGCTACCAGGAACCTCTTCAAGACAGGGAGTAAGATCAGATGATTGCGACATAGATTAAGCTTAACTGCCAGCATTCAGTGTCTGCTGATGGCTAACCCCATATGCATGTGCCTTTTAAAAAAAAAAAAAAAAAAAGCGAAACAAAACCGACCATCATTTGAAACATGTCAGTACTATGTTCATGTAGCTATTGTAAAGACCATGCATCCAGCACTCTCGTGGATGTGTTCCTCTGGTACGTGACGCTTTGACGGATGGAACAGAGCAGGCTTTAGGGAAAAAGCTTCACAGCCGAACACACAGGATGAAGTGATCTTGGCATCAGACTGATAAATACGGTGAAGCTATAAAGGGCAGAGTGAGCAAAAACCAGCATTTCCCATTGCCTTCCCATTGCCTTCCCATGATTGCTGCTACAAACAGGCAGCCGTTGTTCATCTGCTCCTCAAGCACCAGTCATTGATGCACAGGTCCAACTTCAATGTTTCGCATGGAAGAAAGTTAGTGTTGCAGGTTTTTATATCCGGGAAGCAGAAGCCTTTATCACCCACAGTGTTAACGAGTTTCAACAGCAACACGTTTCTTTAGTATGTATGTCTAACAAATGTGAAAAAAAACTACTCGTTCCAAACATCCTTATTTAAACATTTTGGTTGGCTTCAGGCTAATATAAAATGTATTTATTTCAATCTCTTTCTGGAACAAACAAAAACAGGAACAGTCTACATGCTGACTGCCAATGATGACCTGTCTATGTTTTTAATTCATTGCTGCATCTTAGACACATGCCAATCTAACTTGTTGCATGGTTAGGATGTATAAGCTACGATAAAACTTTTTTGTTTAATGTTGAATTCCTTTATGTTGCACTTTAGTGTTGCTTTAAGCTATACAGTATATGAAACAGAATATATTTTAAGTGTACATTTCTGTATCTATATGAGATTGTCTAAGGAATTTGTATCGGACGTTGGTCAAGATTCACACCCAAAGAACAAGTTTGTGAATTCCCAGAATGCTGATTTTAGTCAGATATAAAATTGCTCATTTTGTATTATCTTTTAGTAGAATATCATCAGTTAATCCTTCATGGTGTCCATGAAATTTATATAACTCTGCATTGATTGCCGCTAACTTACTGCTGTTGTAACTGTTTTGTTCTTTTAAGCTTGTGACCCTTTTCATTAATGGCAAGATTTTGCTCACAGGAGTTGAAACTGCAGTCTGGGTGACAGGAAGCAAATGTGTTTTTTTAATAATCGTATCTGTATTCCAAATGGTGTTGGATGCTCGGTGGTGAGTTACCATCATTAGCCTCTGCGATGGCTCACCGTTCACCACGTACAGAAGACTGCAAAGAGCCGCTTGGAATATGTCGGGTCAATCCGTGGGCTTGTATAGAAATGCCCTCTCCCTCTGTTTATTATTAAAAATTTTTTTAGCAATTTTAGCTTTGTCTATGTTCACACCCGGCTGTGGATGGAGGGCTATTATCTTGAGGATAGCTTGCCCAGAAACGTGCCGTTATTACTGGGCAATGATGAGCGATGGTCAAGCAATGAGTGACCCGTAAGACGCCATGGAGACCAGCTTGAGATACTGGCGAGATCCATCCTGTACTCCATGTAACACTTAAAGCTGAAAGTCTCCACTGTTGCCTGGGTCACCCCCATCTTGGCCCTGTGGACCAGCGTTTCCCAGCCCAGTCTGTTGGGACCCCCAGAGGGTCCACGTTTTTGCTTCCTCCCAGCTCAAAAACGTACTGGCCGGCAGTCCCAGCGGACTGGGTTGGAAAGCACTGCAATAGTGCTGCATCACTCCTGTACAAAGAAAACATGACTATTATCAGAGGTACGGTGGGGGCATAGATACCCTGGCAGATTCAGGGGGGCCCACTGCTTTACAGGGGCCTCTGATATGCAAAATTATGCATTTTATTTGGTGGGGGCCTCAAGGTGACATTTTGTTACAGGGCCCAGAATTTCTAGTCACACCCCCTGACCGTCGTTACGAGACTCGAGGTTAATTCTTGTCACAGCATTGACGCCGGCCCCTCCATACTGGTGGCCCCCTCTGCCACAAAGCCTGACTGTCCATTTCTCTGTGACTGTAGCAAAGGCTGCAGCAGAACAGTGTGAGTACAGTGTAGGGAATGAAATGCGGACCATCACTGGCTACAAGCAGGCTGGAAACACTGCCGTAGATGGGAGCACAAACAGGCCTAACTCAGGCAAGCCGGCGAACACGATGTGCTTGAACCCACTGGGTACAGCTGTGGATGTCTATTCATTCCATCCTCTATTACTGCCGTCGGTATAGGCTGTGAGTCACCCAGTGTACTGTCAATGTGCTGCCACACCAGAATGCTTTCCTGTGCTGTCGATTCTGTGTTACCGTTTGTGATATGTGTGTGTGTGTGTGTGTGTGTGTGTTTTAAGTATCTGTAGTCTTGGTGAAAATAATAAATATGTGAACAAATTGTTTGGTTCCCTGAAATTACACCACCGGAGGAGGTCTGAGTGGGAACTTGGAAAGGCTGAGAGTGGCTGGTGTTTTGGATCACCTCCGGCTCCCCCCACGAGTGAAATAAATAGCTGTGGATCTGTGGAGACCTGGATGGGCAGCACCTGACACGCTCTGTTGTGGGGGGGGGGGGTGCAGGGATCGGCAGAAAAACAATGATGCAGTTGGGAGGCAACACAAAGATGAGGGTTGGAATTTATTCTTTTTTTAATGGCCACGTGAAAGATTTTATGACGGAGTAAAAATACGTGCTGTATGTACACTGCATGCAGCCACTAAGATGCTGACTTATCCAGAAAGAAACTGGTGATACTGAAACTCAGTGGGGATGACGTTACATTGTTCTTATGGCAATTTTTCTTTCAGCAACAGGAATAACAACACTATTACTGCATCAGTATGTCATGTTTAAAGTTGCGTGTAAACTTTCATGATATATTTCTTCATCAGTTCTTCAGACACATTCGGTGTGTTAAGCTAGATGACAGTTCCGTAGTACAGGGATGGCATATTTTAAAATGAGTCATCGCAGAATAGCTGGTTGACTATTACCCCTGTGGATTGCGGGTTTGAATCCAGCCTTTGCTCTATATTGGTAGTACATTCATTTCCTTGCACTTGTGGGTTTCCTAGGAAAACTTTAGTTTCCTGCCCATAGTTCAGTTCATCAGCTTCTCTCTGGGGTGAATCTCCCCAATAGTGCTTGGGATAGGCTGCAGATTGCGGGGTCCTGATTGGATAAGTAGCTTTTATGGACAGTTATGTCAGCATGTTATATTTACATTATTTCAAATGCACAATTCAGCTCAAGGAACCGTGGTGCACCCTGCCCTGGATTCCCTGTACTAGGCTGTAGGTCACACAGCCCTGTTTGACCATTTATATGTATATCAAGATGTTAGGGTTACATTAGTTCAAACGACCTTTTGTTCCAAAGGACGGCTTGATGATGGTGATGTGACTTTCATCGCATCGTTTCAACTGTCATTTCCAAAAGTAGCCCTACATACGTTTACTGGTCTTCGGTGACCCAGAGGATAATGTGTCAGTTAGACAGAGGAAGTCACCTACCCAGCGCTTACTGGTGACACTACAGCAATGACTCAGCGTGTACGGCCTTTTCAGCCGGTCGCCGGTGAAAGTGGTGGAAAAAGAAGCGTTTGACAGTTATGTGTAGTTTCAGTATTGGTGCTTCTCTAAAGACACGAGAAGGACTTCAGGGAGATAGACAGGCAGGAGTCAAATTCTGCAGTGTTAAGTAACTAACAGTTTCTTCCAAGAACAGATTACAGTGCAACATGCAAGAAGCCTTAGAGCATCTGAAAAGTTTCACCTGGGAATTTCAGATGTGCTGAGGTCAGATGACGCTAGAGTTCCGGCTGATTGGCCAAAAAAGGGTTACCGCTCCAAGTTTAGCATTCAGTTATTACGCAACTTAAGGCATCACTTACATGTAGGCAAACATCACGAATACATGCTTAACCAAAATGCAGAAGTAAGAGTGTGTGAAGCAACAGGTCATGACGCAGTAAACCAGCAGAACTGCCGGTCCATCATAACACCATCAGTGATTGACGTGTTGGTGCCGCCACGGTAAGTTTAGCCTCGGACAGCTAATGCTAACTTTCGTATATATTCAGGTCAATGGCCACATATGGGTCTGTAGTTCATGCTCTTTTGAGTAGATCTGGTCTGAGTATAAACAGCCCATCACCACCTTCCCTACAGCCCAACCAAATGGAGAACTCTACCTCCTCCTGTGACACATTCAGCAGCAGCTTTAGCGCTCTTGATTCACAAATTTACACTTAACTACCGTATTATACATTCATGTCCTTGTTTTACGTGAAGCTACCCATTTTTAACGCTTCCTTGACCCCCAAAATGAACCTTAGCCGTTACTGATTAAAAATCAGGCACGGTTTTCCAACTTCACCATAAACTTTAATCAGTGACAAAGTATTTGGGATTTTACTGAATCACAAACACTCGGCAATTTTAGAAGAACACTACAATGACGCCATCTTGCAAGCCTAGGAGATTGTTAATTGATTCCAAAAGTGAGGCTGATATTGAGGCTTTTCTCATACATCATAGTCACCAAGGACAAACTCTCAATGGCCGAACATCACGCCACCTGCCCACTGAGTCTCTGCCTAATACAAACAATCAGTTTCACTCACACACCACTCTATCCACAAACTTAACATAGCATCTGTCTGTCTAGATGTGAATTCTTTCCATAACAAGCCAAAGAACCACGTCTAAAGTATTACAAAAAGAAACAGGTGTGGATTTGAAAATATTTGGAAAAAAAAATGAAAACCACAAAAGCGGTTTTAAATAATTCTGAGTTTAGTCAAAACCCCAAACCTGAAACTTTCAAAGTGCACAAACAGAATCATCCTGAAACGAAATGAAAAACCAAAAACCTGCATTCTAGCAGATTTCTGATCTTGCTAACTCAGATAAAACATTCACACAGAAATTTTTTCGTTGGTTAGGGGTTGGTTAGGGGGGGGGGGGGTAGGGTGGTGCAGTCATCAAATGCAGGTTCACAACAATCACGTGATCTGGACTTCCGCTTTGACTGCTTCATCCCCTCTTGCGAGACGAGGCACAGCCACACAAGTCAGACAGCGCTCCTCTGATTCTCACAGCAGCTACGCCGGTCACCGAAATGAACTTCAGGCAATCGTTCACGAACAACAACGCTGATTACAATCTGGAAGGTTCCATGAGGATCAAGTCTAAAACATGGCTACGCCGATCCCTAAGAAGTATGAGAAGACACCCCAGCAAAGAGATGACAGCACCCGACTCGTACAGGGGGACAAAACAGGTTGGTGAACTTAGTTGGAAAAACATACTTAGATGCTTGGTTAATATACCAGTAAGTTGCCTTGTAATGGCACTGGCTGATCATGGCAAAGTTGTGTCTTATACCTGTTATGCTAAAAGTAATGGTGTGATCATCTGTAACTGGTGAATGAATCACCCACCCTATCATCCCTCTTTGTAAATGACCTCAGTGGCATGTCTGTATGTTGTGATGTTTGTGCTAAGATCTACATAAGCTGTCGCTCTTGTTTTTATATAGTCTACAAGTCTCATTGTCAACGTACATACATGTCATATCATAAAATTACTTTGCAGTGTTTAGGAAAATGCATGTACTGCAGTGATTCAGGAAAGCATATTGTTTTTGTACAGGTTAATTGCTCTCGATCGTATTGTTTTTTGGACTACACAGACTCTAACAGGTAAGGAAAATTCTCATTGACCGTTTAAAAATCAAATAAACAAATAAATAAATCAACCAGTCACTCATGCTGATATCTGAGTATGCAAGGACTTACTCCTGTGAGCAAAATGAATGACCTGAACAACTGACTGTCACTTTGTTTTACAGAAAATGCGTTACATTGGAAAAGCAGGAAAATGAAGTGTTTGGGTTTGAAGTTCAGGTAAGGTGACCCTCTTGGTCATTCATTTGTGTATCTTACATTTTATCCTTTGGATTAAATTTAATCGCTGGTAATTGGAGCTGAATAACGTCTATGATAATGTCTATGAGGAAATCAGCAAAGGACCATTTATGCTGTGATGCTGAAGTGGTTTTCACTCTCCCTGACCAGACTTACGGGCTACAACACAGGGACAGGACTGCAGTGGAGATGTGCACATATGTTTGTAAGGTACAGGAGGAGAGCCCAGCCCAAAAAGCAGGTCTGATCACAGGTGAGAGGTCTGCACTTCCTCCCGGGGGGGGTTTCAGTAGGGGGTCTCCAACTCGCCTATGATGCAGGTTCACTTCCTATTAGATCTTATCTAAGTTTCTCTAGATCCGGGCCCCTAACAACCCCCCCCCACTCCATTTTTTTTTTCAGGTGATGTTATCGTTGCAGTAAACGGAGTCAACACAGAAGGCACCAGTCATCAATTCATCATCAAACTGATCCAGGAGTCCAGCCATGTTTTAAGGTCAGTCACCTG